TTACCTTTTATTACTTTTTGTAATCATATTCGCGTAATGTGACAGTACTTCCGCCTTGGACGCTCCTGTGAGAGCAAGCGAGATAGCGCGTTCGCCTTGGTCGTGTGTGACCAAATCGCGAGCCTGCTAGCGCGAGCAGAGCGAAGGTGTCGACCGTATTTCGGAGAAACGAGCCGATTGCGCGCAGTGCAATTACGCGGCACTTGACTGGGACTCGCGTCGGACTAACGTTGTAATCCGCGCGTTTTCCCCTTGGACTCGCGTATAATCAATTACGCCCGAGGCATGAGAGGATGATAATGATAAGAAATGAGATGACATTGCGAAATGAAGCGCGATTGCAGTGATGATTGTATGAATGATAGTTGAAAGTCGAAGCTAAATAAAGAACGATTATTTGTGTGCAAAAGTACATTTTGCGTAGTCTTTTCGCGACCCTCTCTCACTTATTTTCAGCTTGGACTGCCGACGCTCGCGGCGCACTTGGTGGCGGCTCGACCCCTTCTGAGGTAAGACTCAACGATAGGCTAACCGGAGCCTCGGTAAGAAATAATTAGACGGCAGGCCGAGCATGGGCTAGTGCCCAAAACCTCGCACGTCACAATTTGCTACAAGTCTATATGAGTGATATTACTCAGAGTCTTATTGATGGGTAATTAGTTTTAGAAGGTCGAAAAATTTCCTCGCGGTAAATGGCATCCGGTTAAAATTTTAAATTAGTTCAAATATTGTAAGGATAATGAATGAACAAATAAACCGGTTCGTTAATTAGAAATAATATGATCATAAACGATTTTAGCATAGTTTCTCTCAGGACTGATAATGTTTATAGTAAAAACAAATTAGTTTGAATACGGTCTTACCCAATGAAACAAGCCATAATACCAAAACTTACATTTTACTCGTTCAATTTCCTAAACAGAAGAATCCAGCGGTCAATTTAGGCACAAAAATGGATGAGAGTGAGCGGAAATCTGACGAAGTTGTCTCGGAAAATAATTCAAGTAATCAAGACATTATTACTTCAGACGAAAAAAAACACGTTTGTAATATTTGCCGAGAGGCATTTGCCCTAGAATCAAGTATGATAACACATCGAGTCACAATTCATAATGACGAAAAAAATTACGCATGCGACAAGTGCGAAAAGAAATTTCAATTCCGAAGTCATTTGAGTAGACACCAAATATCAGAACACAAAGGCCATAATGATTTTGAATTTGACGAGTGTAAGAAGAAATTTGTGAAAAAATCAAGTTTTTTCACGCACCAAAAATTAATACATAAAGATGGTAAAAATTACTCTTGTAAAAAGTGCGAGAAGAAATTTGAAAATAAATTAGCTTCACTCAAGCACAAAAGAATATTCCACGAAGTTTTCAAAAACTACTTATGTGAAAAGTGCGCGAAGAGATTCGATACTAAACATAGTTTGCTCTTGCACATAAAGACGGTACACGACGATCGTAAAAATTTCGCCTCTGATGAGCATGAGAAGAAATTTGGAATAAAATCAGATTTCATTAAACACCGAAATACAGTCCATGAAGATTACAAAGATTATGCATGCCTCAATTGCGAGAAAAAATTTGGACGTGAATCAGATTTGTTGAAGCACCGAAATACAGTCCATGAAGGTCGTAGAGATTTCTCATGTGATAATTGTGGGAAGAAATATGCATATAATTCAGATTTGTTGAAGCACCAAAGAATAATACACGAAGGTCGAAAAGATTTCCCATGTGACAAATGCGAGAAGAAATTTGGATTTAAAACAGACTTGTTTCGGCACCAAACGATAGTACATGAAGGTCGCAAAGATTATCCATGTGACAAGTGTCGGAAGAAATTTGGTGCAAAATCAAAATTGATTAGGCATCAAAAGACAGTTCACGAAGGTCGCAAAGATTACGAGTGCGACAAGTGTGAGAAGAAATTTACACAAAAATCGAACTTGCTTTACCACCAAAGGGTCGTACACGAAGTTTGCAAATAATATGCATGCGGCAAGTGTGAGAAGATATTTGGAAGTAAAGCCCATTTTTTGAAGCATCAAAGGATAGTACATGAAAGTATCAAAGATTTCGCATGCGAAAACTGTGAGCATAAATTTGGACTAAAAAACGATTTGTTGAATCACCAAAGGATTGTACACGAAGGTTTTAAGGATCATACTTGCGACAAGTGCGAAAAAAAATTCGGGCTTAAATCGAATTTGCTTGTTCATCGAAGGACAATCCATGAGGGAAAAGATTTCGCATGCAATAAGTGTGAGAAGAAATTTGGGTATCAATCAAGTTTGATTAATCACCAAAAGACGGTCCATGAGGATCGTAAAGATTACACTTGTGACAAGTGCGAGGAAAAATTTAGACAAAAGGCGCATTTGTTCAAGCACCAAATGAAATCCCACACGTGATTCTAAACAACATCACATATGCAAAAAAAAAAGGTTTACCGTATGGCAATTGTGAGAAGATATCATTCACGAAATACGCGTTACATTTTTTAGTACAATTTACGAATTTCTTGATCTCATTGCATTTGCTTCGAATAATTTTTCGAAAAATATCATCTATCTTATCAGGGAAATAATGAAAAGTACTGATTTTTTCTGGACAATTGTAATAATATACAGATACTTTTACATATGTTTCTCTTAATTTTCAATAAAAATTATGTCAATATTACTATGTTCTTGTCCTGTGCCTTATTTTTTAACCAAATAAAATTTGACCTACTGCTAATTAATTACCTCTCCGTGCATATTTGGGCTTATGCAACGATAAGCCAAGATTTTCGTTTTCATGTCTTGTTTACTGGATTTTTTAAACCTTATCATGATGATAGAAAGTCTTAAATTGATTATCGATAATTATAATATGTTTATGTTGAAAAAATCAACTTGGAAACCAATTAATAATTTAATTTACACCAGTAAATATTTTTTACACCCTTCAAAATTATTAAAAGCTCGAATTAATATATCATTTTTCTTAGTATTTTTCACAATTCTATTTAAATGCTTCGATTTTTATTGTCCGAGTTTCAAAAATTAACTGTGTAAATGGCAAATAAAAATTTGCGTCAGGAATTGCGCTTTTTCTAACTCGCTACTGAATGTATTTCGAGAAAGTTCGAACAACCAACAAACTAAAAAATTTGGAATAAAATAATTCAATAATTAATCATATGATAGGTAAAAATTATAGTAACTTTTATTCAAATACATACGATGAAAAAAATCGTAGAGGTAAATCCTACAAAAGTGGTCAGCTGCATGTAACCTTAAGATTTTTTTCAGTGTATTGTAAAAATTTTAACGACAGTCTCATTTTTTCATATGAGCTTTTTGAATCTCAAATCATGCACACAAAAATATTATTGTCAACATACTCATACATCGTTTATTTCTCCAATAATGAATTTTCACGCTTCGAATCTTGTTTTTCCTTTTTTGTCGCAGGCACTGCTGCGCGGCGCACTGACGCAACAGAGCGCCGTCATACTCGTCTGCATGGCGATCGATCGCTACATGTGCATGCTGCATCCGCATCGCTATCACAATCGACAGTCGTCCAAGAGGGTGAGTATCTGAAAGCAAAAAAAAAAAAAAAAACAAAAACAAAAAAACATCATCCGTAGTCCTCTTTTTTTTCACGAACATCATAATATATTGTAATATTATTCAAACGACATCATCTCTCTCGCGCGCTGACAAATGGCCGCAGTGGCCGAGCAGACAATGAAGTAGAGCACTCGAAGGATCAATTCACTCCGCCTCTCGTTCTTTTCTTTCTTTTTTTTCTTCTCCTTTACTCGTGTCTAATGCGAAGACATAAGCGGGCGAGCGAGCGAGCGCCGCGCCACGCCGTAGTTGTGTTGTCGTCGCGTCGTAAACTTCGTCCATGTGTACGCGGCGAGACAAAAATGAACAAACTTTTCTATATCCTTCCTTATTTTATTCCGAACTTTCACCCCGACTAAAGTTATCCTTTCGGAAAAAGAAAAGCTTCGCTCCATCGCTAGAGAGAGAGAGAGAGAGAGAGAGACTGTGATGAGGGGGTGCAAAATGACATTTTGTAATTTACCGTAAAAGCTACTGCGTACGAGCGAATATTAAACAATTTTTTTTTCTCGCTCGAGCTATATTACACACGCTCGACCGATTTAATATTTATTTCGGATCGATAAATCGCGATGTAATACGCGATATTACGAGCTCTCGAGGCTCGTCCCGACAAATATCAACACACGGCTTCGACTCGAGAGAGAGAAAAAAAAAAGGAAATACACTTACACAATTCGAGTCTCCATATATACTACGGAAAAAAGCTATTTCCGCGCGCTGCTCCTTTATTATACTTTTGTTCTTTTTCTTTCCGTTTCTCAAACTCGAGTAATAATTTTTCAAAGATAGCCGATGGCCGCAATTCTGTCTCTCTCCATCTCGGTATACCGAAGGAATCGAGGCATGTCGCACGTGCGCGAGCTCCTGTATTTCAGCAGATTAAATAGAAAAGAAAAAGTTATTACGAAAATGTTAATAAGGGAGAGTCTCGTTGAGTAATTAAGATGTCTCTCTCTCTCTCTCTCTCCCTCGATGCGAATATAATAATATACACATCGGGTATAGAATTCGATCTCAATCCGTTTGTGTGCATTTGCGCGACGTTAATCCTCCCGAGAGTCGCGACATTGCCTTACAACGGCATCGAGAGTCACTCGAGTCGGTTCTTTGCCAAAAGTCTCGTCTCTCTCTCTCTCTCTCTCTCTCTCTCCCTTTGTGGGTATCCAGTTACACTTTTTGCTATGATATATACATTAAAAGCCGCGAGCTCGCGTTATACCATTGTCCGAATTATGTAACAACTATATACATGGGTATAAGAAAATTTACTGTACCGATGAATAATTCATGCGATGGAACATTATATATTTCGGCGAGAGAGAGAGAGAAATTAATGTAACTAGGTGAATATGGCAAATATGCCCGTGAGCTCGAAAGTCGCATTATGCAAGTTGAGTCGTCGAATTGTGGAAGCGTTAAAAATTTTTCTCACAGCAGAAAGGGACGGTATTATACGGTTATTTATCTTTCCTTTTTTTTGGGGGTTCAGACGCGCCCCCATATACACATTCGCGCGAATCGCTTTGGAGTAGCAGAGGCTCTTATACGCCTCGACCCGACAAAACTAACGAGCCGCGAAGTACCGTGGCACAGTGGCGAAAGAGAGAATGAGAGTGAGAGAGAGAAAGGGTAGTTTATACGAGTGACGCGAGAAACTTGCCCGTATTATATGACGTGTCTACTACTACTACTGCTGCTGCTGCTGCTGCTGCATCGCGAAGATATACACGTGCAGTCTGGGTTGCCTCTCTCTCTCTCTTATATAGAGCTCTAAATGTATAAAGGAGGCAGGCAAAATTGTTAGGATGGAAGTTTCAGCGGTGCGGCGGTGGTGAGAGAGAGAGAGAGAGAGAGTAAGAGCAAACTTTCCTATACGTATAACCGAAGTGTTACACACACATACGCGTTGGTGGTACAGCTCTCCTTTATATTATATGCTTGGGAATCGCGGTTTTGTCTGTAATAATGGGAAATATAGGATACGTGCGTATGCGCATTCGTACGCGCAAAGACGCGTGTCGATAGAAAAAAAAATCGATTCGTTTGGCATATGGGTTCTCGTGCAAAGTGTGATAATTTGTGCAAAATTTATTTCATCCAAATCAATGAACATTTTATAAAAACGATAGCAAGCGAGAGAAGAATTAGAATCCCAAATTAGAAACTCTCGCGTTAGGTGAATAGCGCCTCTTATAAAAACACTCAACGTTCTAGGGCTAATTATTTAATGGTATTATTCAATACTTTTTACCAACTCCCGACAATTGTTTCAAAACTGAGCTCTGACATATACGATTATTTTGACTTTGTCACTTGCAGATTTCTTGACGAAGGCCACTCGCCATCTGGCGGTGAAGACTTAAAGTGATATTATCTTTTCAATGTTTTTCAAATTTTTCAATTGATTAAATTTTTATCTTCAGTTTATAATCTAAAATTCTTAATTGTAACGTAAAAATGATCAAATACAAGCCAATAAATGGTAATTTATTTTAAAAATTTCAGATTTTAATGCTTTGTTCGTTAGGTCATTGTTAATGTTTGCTTTTTGAATCAATAAGCAGCTGTGTAAGAACAGCCTGTTAGAAGCGAAGCTTCAACAAAATTTCACAAAAAAATTTAAGTTTAAACGAATGAATAAATTCAATTGAAAAGAATTAAAAATGAAGAATAAAGTTTAAAAAAATTCAATCAAAAAATAATAAAAAAACCCTACGGTTTGACTTCTGATGTCTTTGGATGTTTGACAATTTATTAAATCACTAAAAGTGATTTGACTGAGTTTATTAATTCTAGAACGGTGTCTCTGAAGAGTCGCTACATTTCTTTTAAATTCGTTCGTTTCACAGATTTACTCATGCACTCGACGTACGTAAAGGTGTTTCAGTTGAGAAGAAAAAAAAATTAAACACGCGTCAATGAACTCGATCGTATCGAATGAATAAATTTCGTAAAATAGATTTTTCACCTCGCACACATATCTCGCGTATCGTTTGATACGCCGCAATATGATGCGGCGGACGATTGCGACAACGATTATACGTGCGAATGATTATGATATACATTTTACATCTGTGTGCTCGTGGCACGTGAAAAAAAAACGAATTCCCCGCAAATTGTAACAAACTCTCTCGAGTGCGGCTGTCCGGCGTGTGTAATATAAACGTACTACAACCGAAAGAGAGAACCTTTTTCGGCGAAGAGGAGGGAAAGGGGAAAGGGAACAGTAAGGTTAAACGAGGCGACGGCGTATAATAATTTTGCAGCAAAAGCTCGAAATATGTGTGACTGACGTGTATACGTTGTAATATATAATACACAAAGTGAGATCTGCATCGGGGGGCACTTTTATATACACGCGAAATTTTCCACACGTTCACCGGGTGATGCTTTCGACTGCGCATCATCCACGATTTCACTGCGCGCAACACACCGAAAAAAAAGTATATAGCGAGAGTAAAAAAAAATAGGAGAGAGAAAAAAAATTCGATCTTCGAGGTCGAGTCGCCAATTTCGGGCGCTGTACGTTCGTGTACGTGTACGTGTGCGTATATACTACTATATACACACGCGAAGAGAAGAAAGTCTCGAGTCGAGGGCGATTCATTACGTGCGGGATAGCCTCTCTTGTTCGCTTCTTCTTTTTTTCTCCGTTCGCGAGCTTTACATTTGTAGCTCTAAAACGTTCGCAACGATCTCCTGCTCGCTATATATATATACAAAAGCTCGCTCTCTCTCTCTCTCTCTCTCGGGGGAATTAAGCTTTTTTTTATTATCATCGTGTCCTCGATCGTATAGTAGTCGATGGTAAATTTTTTTGTTGCGACAACGATCTTATCCCATTCATTCCCATTGATTTTATGACACTGGATAATCATCATGCTTATATAACGTTTTAAAACATTATCCGTATCTCATCTGCCTCATCATCGTCATCAACGTCACGTGGCTTGTATGTCGCTGCTGGCATCATCTTCCATTTGCTGCTACTACCACTGCTACTGCTGTTGCTGCTGCTGCTTTCTCGGCGCTAAAGTATTACATGCGACAGGGCTGCGTGGCGATAATGTCGACCACCTGGATTGCCAGCGTCGCGATGTTCGGCAGCCTCGTGCTGCCCAAGGGCGGCTACTACTTCAACGACACCGGCCTCCTCGCTTGCGAGCCATTCTTCGCCAAGGCGTCGATCAGGTAAGGAAGACTCACTCTAAATTTTGACTTCAAGAGAGTTTATCTTAAAAGTTCAGACCGATAAGCACATGTGAAGCGATATTTTTAAAAATCATTAAATATCGATTTAAAGCAAAGTTTAATTTTTAAAAATGGCACTTACATGATCAATCGTTTTGAATCGACACAATTTATGACTAAATTTAGTTATTGTTACATTGATTGGTTTTGAGAAAAAAGAGTACACTTTTTTAACACATATTCAATAATTTCAATTTATAAATTGAAAAATTGAATTTAATTCACATGCGCGTGTAAAACAAACAATAAACATTGAAATAAAGGATCACTGAATGAATGCAAAACAAAATGTTTTCGATAGTGGATTCTAGAGGTGCTGGTTAAAAGAGGTTAAGAATTTCTAATCAATTGTTTTTTATCTATATTTCTTTTTCATTTATTTTTCTTTACCCACCGTGACACCATTCTAAATTCGAACTAAATTATGATCTTTCTGCTGTTAACTTGTATAGAGCAAAGAATACAATAAACGCAATCTCAAATTCTTTTACAACATTTTTAAATGTTTCCTTTTTTTTTCTTTTAGTTATAGGCTAAATTGTTAGTTTTAATTTCGGGATCCATTCTGAAAGCTCGATGAAGCCAATTGTGTTATACAACATATTGTAGGATTATTATAAAATCATTTGTGAGAAATTAGATCGGTGTGCATACCGAAAAAAAAAAAAAAAACGAAAAAGAGAAACAGAAACGAAAAAAAAAACAGTTACATTTTGAATTGAAGAAGTACGAAGAAGCGAAAAAGCGAGAAGCTCTCTAAGCACACACGCGCGCTGTGAATATTTCAGAATACTGGTGTGCTGCTGCTTTTACTTCCCCACCACGATGGCCCTGATGTACTTCTACGGCTCGGCCTTTCACATGAACAAGCTGCGCTTCAAGCGGGTGGTCTGCGCAAACACCAGCGAGATCATCAGCACCGGCTCGAACAACAGCGCCTCGGGCCTGCCCGGACAGCATCACGAAAAGGTAAGGTGCAGCAGCAGCGGCAAAAAAAAAATAAGTAGGCCTCGCGGCCGTTTTTTATTACTTATACCCGCGCGGCGCGTGCATTATTTATTACGTATACGTGCGCGGCAAGAGAGAGACCTAATTGAGCGCCTCGTTGACGAGCTTTTTTTCTTCGCCTTTGATTAGATATTTATGTAAGAAAACAGATATACGGAAAAAATTCATTCGGTATTATATAATAATAAAAACGCATTTAAGCGTCGCGAAACCGGGGGATCGACTCTTTCTTTCTTCTCTCGCTTCTTTTTATCTTTCTTCCTTTTTTTTTTTACGCCCACATTTTGCCGCTCCATTTAAGTTAATTAAAAGCCGCGAGAACACACTTCAATTAGCCCCTTTAGCGTTTTTTTACCCCTTTCTTTTTTTTTTTTTTTTGGTGCGCGCGCTTCAGCCTGTACGTACATACATACATACATACACACACGTAGATATATACTTATGAAGGTCTCTCTTTTTATATAATAGAAAGAGAGAGAGAGAGAGGGATAAAGCCCGAATTAAGGAGGTAAACGTTTGAAATGCAAAACTAGAGAGAGAGAGATTACGTCGAGCACACAGGCCTCGGGCTTCTGCTGTGTTTCTCCAGCGCACGCGACCCGCGACGCGTGGCAATCTTCGTTATAAACGGAAGCAACTCGACTGCGCTTTAGACGGTATACACAGGCACGTTCGTATTATGATATATAATATATGGTCGCAATTTCTTCTCTCGAAATTTATCAACAGAAAAATTAATATACTCTTTGAGCAGACATTTGCCCTCATAGAGATGCTCAACGATCGATGGCGAGTTTATGAATGACAAATGTGACGCGATGGTTAGTTAGTAATCGAAGGTTCGACTCATATGGAATTATTTTGACTTTGCCACTTGTAGATTTACTGATACAAAGGTACTCATCATCTAGCGGCGAAGGCTCAAAGTAATGTGATAGTATCAAGGAGATGAAAAACAAGTCACATTTTTTTGCAAACCAGCAATTAAAGTATCATTTTCGGGTCCTTTGAATGCATTTGATATTTTTTAGATTAGTGCAACAGAAGAATCGTAAAAAAACAATCCAATAGTTATTTTCAAAGTTCTATGCAACTCGTGAAATTCGATGATTCTTATTAAATCCAAATGGTTTTAACCATCTGAATGCGGCGCGGGATTTTTCCCTCTATCGATGCCCTAAGAAAAAAGCATCTAATAATAAATTTGAGGATGCGATTATCGAATCATGGAGCTTATCGAATATCGAATATCGGATGATGAGTCGCGCGAAGTGCGCTGAATGTATCTATGAATTGAGTGAAAAATTAAATAGCACACAACCTTAGGCCGAGGCCGCCAAAGAAGTGCATAAGGGATTTTTTTTGGCGGCTTAGACTACATACGATATTTCATATTCAGTTGTCCTATAATAGCATTTCCCTCTCTGCGCAGGCGAAGGAAAATAGTTGCTTACGGGCCACTGGTAAAATCATTCATAAATGAAAATAAAAAAAGTGCATTCAACGAAGACAATTTAAAACTGAACACGCTGTAAACACCAAAGAGTTAACATTGGTACCTCTAAAAAGTTATTCCCGAGAAATGTTCGCCAGAAATTCTTTTCGATGCCGTGCTTAATAGGATTCAAAAGAGTAATTCGTAAACCCTACACTTAAAAACGTTGCGATATTTTTTTGCGAAATTGACAAGGGAAAGTAATTTATAATTTGGATTATTTTTTTCAAAAACGAACAATCTGCGTTCTCAATGTGAATCCTAGCGCTTTATCAGAAAGAGTTTTACGTGAACATGTTCTCTTTACAGGTGTGAATTTACCTCTATGAAATTCAAGAGGATGACGAAGTTAGTTTTTGAAATTAACAGATTTAAAAATGATTAAAACGAAGAATTGTGACATAATCTTTTGATGATAGAATTACCACGATTTTTAATTATTTTATAAGAAATCCATAATTTTTAATCCATAATGATGGAATTTTAGTATGAATGCCAAAAAACCACTCTACTCAAGCTTATGAAATTTCAGACTTTTACGATAAAAAAATTTCATTTATCAACAAAAAATACAATTTATCATATAGGTACTTTTTCTTTAATTCCCTATTCTATATTTTCTCGCCGCACTATCATCGCGCACTGCCATCGATAATTGTGTTATATGTATTCTTATCGTTTTGAAGAGGATAATGATCTTGAGCTTATCAATGTACAAACGGAAACTCGTTTTAATAAATGTATTTATTTATTCGTTGAAGCAACACCATATACATATAAGAGGATTCGATCAAATAAGTGTGATGCCGCATAAGTTTCTCTGTTAAACAAAGATTATTTATTATTACAACTAAAATAATTATACAATATCTACAAAATTACCTGTTAAACAAAGAAACGACAATTCAGTTCAAATGCCTGAAACTTCTATTTACTCTCTGTCCAGGTATTCGAATGGTCGCTTCTAAGTTTAACAGTAAGTACCAACATCACTTTTCTCTTTCCATACACACAACACTTCAAGCGCGCGCATTCACGCACCATAGAAATATCAATTTCTTTACATACATAAATAAAATTATTCCAATTATAATTATTGTCATCATCACGAGTTTTAACCCGCAGCAGCCAAGCTAATACCCGATCATCTTTTTCACTCCTTTTACATTTTATATTATCATATCAACATTCAATTTTTAGCCTTTTTGGAGCGTTTCCATCTCCAACAGGTCTTTCGTTATTACGTTTTAATACATTTTCTATTACATTTATTTTATCTTGCTCATCAGTTTGACCTTTAGCCGCCAAGCAAATATTATACAAATCTTTGTTCGTTAGCTGGTCTATAATCATGTCACAACAGAGAATTGGCAGCCGATAGTGTATCAATGCCATAAAGCAATCCAGGGCCCATTCGCGAAAAAATTTCCTCGTTACTTTCTCGCACAAACGGAAATCACAAGCATTCATAGACATGTAGTCGAGGTTTAACAACGTGTACGATCTCGCGAACTTGAAGTAATCCATATACGTGGATTTTTTCGGCATCTCTTTTAATATTGAATCGACCAAATCGTCGACACCCTTAGTGGTCGAAAAATTCGCACTTTCGTACAATTTGTACTTGTCGAAAAATCCCATGACCTTTAGGGTGTCATCGAGGTCCAGTTCCTGACCTACATTTGTCTCGAGCAGTTCGACGATGGCCAGCAGACCAGTCGCCACCGCTAGTTTAATTACAGAACAATAATTCTTGACAAGAAAAAATCTTACATTATCGTTCGATTGATAGATTTTCCCGTACTTGTCGGAGTCTGTCGCGGTCGGAAAAACGAAGCCAGACAAGTCGGCGCCATGTTCCAGAAGACTCACGACGGTCGGCGGACAGCAACTCGCCACGGCCCATTCCAGCGCTGTTCGACCCGAATTGTCCCGGGCGTCGATCTGGACAGTCTTCCCGAGGTTTTCGATGACATTGAAAAATCGCTCCACTCCGCCGCCGCGCTTGGCAATAATGTGCAGAGGAGTCTCTCCTTTTTCGTTGACGAGAGTCGGATCGGCGCCTCTCCTCAGTATCAAATCGACGACTATTTCTTTCTGGCTTTTCGGTGCTAAGTGTAGCGGTGTATTACCTGACTTGTCACGGGCGTTGATCTGCACCAGCTGATTCAATTCGTCGTTGATTTGGAAAAATAGCTTTACTATCTCATATTTACCGTCTTTTTGGGCTATAATATGCAAAGGTGTTTCTCCTTCATGGTTGACCGAATTCGGATCAGCGCCACGTCTCAGCAGCGACTCGATCTCTGTCGCGTTTCCGCGCGAAGGAGCCACGTGCAACGGAGTGTTGCCCCTATTGTCCCGGGCGTCGATCTGGACAGTCTTCCCGAAGTTTTCGATGACATTGAAAAATCGCTCTACTCCGCGGCCGCGCTTGGCAATGATGTGCAGAGAAGTCTCTCCTTTTTCGTTGGTCAGAGTCAGATTCGCGCCACGTTTCAGCAGCAACCCAACCAACAGCAGTCCACTCCTGTCATGCGACAGAGCCAAGTGCAACGGTGTGTTGCCCGATTTATCTTGGGCATCGATCTGTATTCTCTGCTGCCTTTCATCCAGAATTTTGAAGAATAACTTGGCCAATCTATCGCCCCAGCTTCTCTGGCAAATAATATGCAAAGGAGTCTCTCCTTTCTCGTTGGCCAGATTCGGATCGACGCCGTGTTTCAACAATAATACGGCGACTTCCTTGTGACGGGAGGCGAGAGCCAAGTGTAGTGTTGAATCACCCGTTTTCGATACGAGGCAATTGGGATCCTGGCCGAGCTCGAGGAACTTCTCCGCAACGTCGGCCAGTCCATACTTGCAGGCCATGTGGAAATGAGTGTAGCCCGACTCGTCGATATAATTTACGTCAAATTTGTCGTAAATTTTAAAAAGATGTTGCAACGCTGCAGTTCTCGAAGTGAACTCGTCATTGCATTTATCTACCTGATGTACTGGCGTGGTGCGACGCAACAGTGGCTTACCGTTCTCGTCCAAATCGGGCTCGTCTTTGTAGCCGCAACGAATGAAGAAATCAACTATATTTTCTCGATGCTGGTCAAACGAATTCATGATCGCCACGAGAAGCCAATCCATCTCTTGCCTTGTAAAGATGTCGCGCAGATTTGGAAGTCGTTCCCTCCAATCTCTTATCAAAGGTCCAAATTTCCCGACAAATTGGCTTCGATGGCTTTTTATCTCCAAGAAGTAGATTTTACGTAACCTCTTCAATTCGTCTAATTTTGGATGCTCCATGCGTTGTTCGTCGGATCTGATACTTGACGAAGACATTATATTATTTTGAAAGTTGTAACACACGATACACAAACACCGATTATTTAAAAAATATATTATTTTTTTCTATCAAAATCAATGAGACAGTTGTGCTGCTTACACCACGAGGTCGAAACGCGTACTGCGATCT